ACCTGTTGCCCACCCCAAACTCGCACTCGTTCTTGATCGCCCGCCAGGCGACAAAACCCTCGTGCCTGCCTGCGAGCGTCACCATCGCCAGCGCCTTGCGCTGGGCCTTGGTGATCAGCATGGCACGCAGCAGCTTGCTCGTTGCCGCCGCGCGCTCGCCCACGCTGACGTTGTCTACCGCGAGCGCTGGCTGGGCCTCAACGATATCGATGAGGTCATCCCAGCCCATCAGCGCGAAGAACACGTGGGCTTTGATGGACCAGCTAGGCCAGTCCTTGATGTCGCCTCTGTAATACACCAGCTGCTCTCTGGGCGCCGCTGCCATGGGCAGCGCGCGTCCTCAGTCTTCCCGTGGATCTGATCCGCGTAATTCACCGCAGAACCACGCTCACCGCTACCATGGCGGAAGTTACGCGGACGCGTGGGGAAAGCGTAGATTGGGGTTCTTTGTCTTCCAACGCAGCTCGAACAAAAGGGCCTGCGGGTATGCTACGAATTTACGGCGTCCGAATCACTCAAGATCCCGAGCAACATGCGAAGGAGCGCCGAAAACCAACAAAGCGCCGAAAACCAAAAGGGCGCCGAAAACCAACAGAGCGCTGAAAACCAAAGAGCCACCGAAAACTGAAAGGGTGCGGAAACCAACAGAGCGCCGAAAACCGAAGGAACGCCGAAAACCGAAAGGGCGCAGAAAATCAGAAGGAGCGCCGCAAAAAAACAAAAAAGTGCGCCGAAAACCAAAATGGCGCCAAAAACCAAAAGGGCGCCGACAATCAGAAGAGAGCCGAAAACCAAAGGAGCACCGAAAACCAAAAGAGCGCCGAAAAGCAAGGGGGCGCCGAAAACCAAAAGGCGCCGAAAACCGAACGAACGCCGAAAACCGAAAAGGCTCCGAAAACCAAAGGGCGCCCAAAACCAAAGAGGCGCCGATGATCAAAAGGGGCGCCGAAAACCAAAGAAGAGTAGCTTCGAAGCCACCCCTTCAGCCAGGACCCTCCAGCTGGAAAAGCCAAGAGGAGGGGCGGGGGGGGTCGCTCTGGAAGCCCCCCCCTCGATAGAAAGATAGCCCAGGCTTACCCCGGGCCCCGAAAAGGAGAGGGGGCAACTTCCAAGCCCCCCCCCCCTTTTTAGCCAAGGAACCCCCAGCTACAAGATCCAAACAAACAGAAGGGGTGGTAGCTTCGGAAGCCCCCCCCCCTCTTTGAAAGGGGAGCCCGGGCTGACCTCGGGCCCCGAAAAGGGGAGGAGGGGGGGGTGCAGCTTCCAAGCCTCCCCCCTTTAGCTAAGCCCCCCAGCGAAAAAATACCTGCAAAAGTGGGGAGGGAGGTAGCTTCGGAAGCCCACCCCCTTTCAAAGGGAGGGGGGGGAGCTTGAAGCTGGAGCCCCCCTTTTAGTGAGAAGTGTGCCAAAAGCGCGTTCTGTATGACCTCCCACCCCATACGTGCATATACTTGTCCTCCGTCCCCCTCCTCTTTCTCCCTCTCCCCTTCAACACCATCATATGTCCTGTGATCTTCCCATCTTCCCGCGTGAACATACTACCATTGACCCACGTCGTCCTGCACCCCCTGGTCATCATCATCATCATCATCATCATCATCATCATCATCATCATCATCATCATCATCATCATCATCATCATCATCATCATCCTCATCCTCATCCTCATCCTCATCCTCATCCTCATCCTCATCCTCATCCTCATCCTCATCCTCATCCTCATCATCGTCATCCTCGTCATCATCATCATCATCATCATCATCATCATCATCATCATCTCATCATCATCATCATCATCATCATCATCATCATCATCATCATCATCATCATCATCATCATCATCATCATCATCATCATCATCATCCTGATCCTCACCCTCATCCTCATCCTCATCATCATCATCATCATCATCATCATCGTCGTCAGCATCATCGTCATCATCATTATCATCATCATCATGACCATGATCGTCGTCATCATCATCAACATAATCATCATCATCATCATCATCATCATCATCATCATCATCACCACCACAATCATCCTCATCATCATCAAACCAGCAGCAGCAGCAATATCATCATCAGCAGCAGTAGCATCATCATCATCATCATCATCACAATCATCATCGTCATCGTCATCGTCATCGTCATCATCATCATCATCATCATCATCATCATCATCATCAGCAGCAGCATCATCATCCTCATCATCAGAATCAGCATTAGCATCATCTGCAGCATCATCATCGTCGTCATCATCATCATCGTCATCATCACCATCACCATCATCATCATCATCATCACCATCGACGTCCTCGTCATCATCATCTTCATCCTCATCTTCATCTTCACCCACCACAACCACTACCACCATCATCACCACCACCACCACCACTACCGCCAACATCATCATTACCACCATCCACCACCACCACCACCATCATAATCATCATCAGCATCATCATCTTCACCCATCACCAATCACCCCCATCATCATCACCACCACCATCATAATCATTTCCACGACCCACCACTACCACCATCGTAATCATCATCAGCATCATCACCACCCATCATCCATCACCCATCACCACCATCAACATCACCACCATTACCATCACCATCATAACAGCAGCAGCATCATCATCATCATCATCATCATCATCCTCATCCTCATCCTCATCCTCATCCTCATCCTCATCATCATCATCATCATCATCATCATCATCATCATCATCATCATCATCATCAATATCATCATTGCCAGCCGCAGTGCCAAGCACGACGGCCAGGGCTTTGGGCGCGAATATACCATCACGTCGCCATGGCAGGCGGTGTATTGGATTGCACCATATCACGGTTGCTGCAGTCCGCCGCTTCGTCCGCCACATTTGGAAGATTTGTCCGGAAGGAGCCCCCACGCACGGTAGCTCCCCTTCTAGTGATTTGGCCACGGCGTGGAGGCCACCCTGCCCAACCCGCTCCCTCGACACCCCAGGGCATCTTAGAATGCTTGCTGGATGTCTGGTAAGCTTTCTACGGGGTGACCCCCGATCATGGCGCATTCCCCAACACACATATACACTCACAGCCCCCCTCAACCCACAAGTGTTGCTCCACTGCGCCCGTCTCGCCCTCAGAAGGGCTCGACAGCAGCCACGCAGCACTCCGAGAGGGCTGCGAGACGCAACCCCGGGGGGGAGGGGGGAGACGCATGTGTCCTAAGATGCCCCAGAAGCCCCAGATGCCCTGCAGAAGGTCCCCACGAGGCTAAGGAAACTGAAAAAAAACACCCGAAATACGGCCCAACAGCGACCGGGGAAGCCAAAAAACAAATTCCATGCGTCTGCTGTTGAAGCTGCTGGATAAAGCAACGCGACTCATCCCGAGGGCTCGGGGGCGCGGCTGGGAACTCACACCTCCACACGTCCAAGAGAAGCCCTAGCGGACCATCCTGGGGCCCCGATTGGGGAAAATCATGTCAACTCCGTACCTGTTTGAATGTCTTTCACATTCTCGGATGCTCGGTACACCCTGCGAAATGCTTAAGAAATCATGGGTTAAGAAATTCATAGTCTCGGAACTTGAATAAAAACCCAAAATGTCAATTAAAATCGTAAGATTTACATTGAAACGTTAAGAATCATCGAGATTCTGGCCGAAAACTTAAGTCTTCTTAAGCATCGCCTAAGGTGTATGACTGGCGGTAAAAACGGCCCAGGAGGCTCCCAACATCGCCCCGAGACCCCCCCCCCTCGAGGATCGATCGATCCCCTCGCGCGGCGGGGGGCTCGCTTTCCGCCGCTCGCACCCGCGGACCTCCGACGGGGCCGCCACGTCGGTGGAGGCGACCGCGACGATCAAGGCGTGCAGCAGCAGCCCTCACCGTTCGGCCTCGCTCCTCCTGTCGGGGAGACGTAAGACCCGGGTACGGGGGACTCGGAAATCCCCGACGAGGTCGTCAAAAAAATGGCGAGGCCGAGCCTGCATTTTGACGAGGCCTCCCGCTGCAGACATCCCACGAAACCCCTCCTCGTCAAAATCCGAGGCGCGGTCGTCAAAAAACGATGGCGAACCCGAGTCCCGGCAAACCCGGGTCTTACGCTCCCCCGATCCTGGTCGATCCCCCTCCCCTTCCTCCTCGATCTCAAGGGGAACGATAGGGAGGGACCAGCTCAGGGAAAGAAAAGCATCGAGCCGAAGTCGGCGACACGTCGCCGCTGGACCGGCGGTGGGCCCTCGATCGCGAGACCGCACCTGTGGGTGCGGTTTGCCATCACCACCCCTTTCGGCGACAAATGGGCGATCGGAGGTCGATGCATCCCCCCCTAAGCCCAGCCCCCCTATGACTGCCCCCAGCAGGCTCCCGCGCCTCCGGCCACAACTCGGGTCATGACGCGGGCCTCCGGCGAGCCTGTGAGACACCTCGGGCACCCCCGAACGCCCTCAGCGAGGCGCAGCCGCTGGAAGGCACCCTCGGGCTGCAAGGCCCGCCGAGAAGGCGACGACAACGTCCGAGGACCTCGCAGCTCGAGCCTGTCCCGACCTGTCCCCCCGACCGCTGCCTCAAACAGGGCCCCTTAGGATCGGGATAAATCGCTCCAGAGCGTTCCGGAGCGCTCTCAGAGCGTTCCGGAACGCTCTGGAGCGGCCGCGGCGCCCAATACATCCTCCAAACCCGCCGATTCTCAGAGATTTCGAGTTATCCCGATCCGATTTTGTCCCGATCTTCGCGTCGTTTTACTGCCCCCGACGATCCTCCTCCCTCCCCGACCCACCACCGAAGGCGCGGGGCGGGCCCCGAACATTACAGCGTGAATTACCTCCCCCGCTTTCGCTTCCAGGCAAAACCAAGCCATACCACGCGCCTCCTCGTCAAGCGGCCTGACCAGTACAGGCCACAATTTGGCATCGTTTGGTATCTCTTGGAAGCGAGGGTGGTCAAAAGCGAGGTAGGTTTGGCAGCCACGCCCGGCCGGGCGGCGCCGAGGCCGCGGCGGGCGGCGTCGCCGGCGGCGTGCCGGACGGGAGCGGCGAGCCCGCGAACCTCCTGGGGGCGCCGGCGTCGTCGCCGAGGTTGCCTCGGCCCTCGAAGGGCCCTCTGGTCGGGGGTCTCGTCGTGGGGGCGCTGAGCGTGTGGAGGGGGGGAGTGCTCCTCCTCGTCCTCGTCCTCGTCCTCGTCCTCGTCCTCCCCCTCCTCCTCCTCCTCCTCCTCCTCCTCCTCCTCCTCCTCCTCCTCCTCCTCCTCCTCCTCCTCAGGGGGGGAGGCGACGCAGGAAAGGGGCCAGGGGCCCAAAAAAAAGTTTGAGGAAAAAGAACTATGCACCTACACCGATTCTGGCCAGGCCCATCCGGAGCCCAGGATCGGTGCATACGCCCTCCTGCCTTGGCCAGGAGGGCATTGTGCACCGATCCTGGGTCAAGGATGGGCCTTGCCAGGATCGGTGCATGTGCAAAGTTCTCTTCGCCCGAAAAGTGGAAAGGCGCCCCTTCCTGCAGCCCCCCCGTTTCACTGTGGGGTTCAGGAGGAGGAAGGGGGGGGGGGCATGCAGGAAGAGGGCCCAGGGCCCAAAAGGTGTACGAGAAGTGCACCTCTCTGCAGCCCCCCTGTTTCACTGCTCCCCCATTGAATGACGCCCGACTCTGGGGACCTCGGCAAGACTCCGGGACCTCCCAAGGCCATCGCGGAAGCCTCCCAAGATCTCCAGAAGAAACCCCCGTCCAGAGACCTCCGAAAGCAGAGGACGTCGCTGGTCGTCGTCGCCTGTCGGTCGTCGGATGTCAGGTGTCGGGTGTGGGTCTTCGTCGCCGCCGCTAAGGGCCGCCGTCGTCGTCGTTGTTTTAGAAGGCTCTCGGGCACCCCAGCTGCACAAGGCTCGAAAAACTCGCCAGGGTGACCGGGGGAGGGCTCTGCGAATCAAGTCTCAACGGATTCTGGGCGAAACCCTCGAGAGGAGGAGGAGAAGGAGGACGACGACGACGACGACGGCGACGAACAAGGAGGACACGAAGAAAGATGAAGCTTGACATTGTCGAATGTTTGGCCCTAAACGTCTGGAGCTCTGCCTGCTGCCCTTGAGTCGCCGAGCGCGCTCCACTACTCGCCAAATGCCTACTCGCAAACGTCCGAAAAAAAAACACGTGTCTGCTTTGATGTAATTGATCGTAGATCCCCGCCGGGGGATCCAGGCCATTTGCGAGTAGCGACTTCTGCGAGTAGTGGCACGCGCTCGTCGAGTTCAGCCGGAGGACCTCGAAGCCCCGCCGGCGCCTCTCGCGGCTCTGCCGGTGGCCCTGTCGCAGCTCAGCACGCGGCCTCCGCAGCTCCGCCAAGCGAGGGGCCTCCGCCACAAGGCCCGGCGCTGGCATGAGCGCAGGCAGGTGGAGGTTGTTACCGTGCGGTTTCGTATGATGGTCCTGGTGATGGTCGTCGACCGCGCACGGGTGCCCAGACTGGTCGAGAAGGCAGCGCTGGTGGCAGCCGCCGATGTCGCACAAGTTGTCGTACTGGTCGTGCTGTTGGTCGCACTGGAGGTCGTACTGGTGGTCGCGATCTGGGGCGTCGACGACGATATATATATATATATATATATATACATGTGTGTACTCCGCCTTGTAGTACGTGGTGTTGTACTTGGTGTCGTTTTTGCCGCACCTGGTGTTGTACATGGTGTCGTACTTGTCGTCGAGCTTCTAAAGAGCAGCGGTGGTAAAGATCACGATTCGTTCAGGATTCGGCTGGCATCCATGTCTGGCATGTATCCCATACGCTTAACAGCGGATTCCACTCTGGTTCTCGGTACCGTTTCCAGGAAGTTTCCAACATGGGAATCTTCGTCGTGGATCTTGATGATCCGCCCGCTGACCGCGATGGCCCATACGTAGATCTTGATGACCAACCCGAAGACCGTATGGCTGCTGGCGCCCGCCAGCCGCGGCGCGGTCAGCGGGCTGAGGCCATCCCCCCATTGCACGCGGGAGATACGAGTTTCCCTCAAACGGCCTTGAGCCAACATGGCTCTGGAACCTCCTCATACGCCTCCTCTTCCTCCATTCCACTTTCCTTGAATAACTCCTTCCTGACACACCCCAAGACGTGTCCGCAGAGTGGGCCGGAATTTTTGCCTAAGACAGCCTCGCCATTTACGATCCTGAAGCTGAAATGTGCAACAGCTCGACGGATGAAGGACGGGCCGTTTTCAAAATGAGGCTCTCGCCTTAGCGCCGCGCACATTCATAGTAATCAAAAGTTGCAGCAGCTTCACGGATGGAAGGCGGGCCGTTTTCGAAATGTGCTTCTCGCCAAAGCGCCGCGCGCATTCGTCGTATCAAGAATTTACAACAGCTTCACCGATTGAGGGCGGGCCGTTTTCGAAAAGTGGTTCTCGCCTTGAAGCTGCGCAAGCGGTTTCCGAAATGAGGTTCTGCCTTAGCGCCGCGCACATTCGTCCTAAATGTTTGTTTGCAACAGCTTCACGGCTGGTGGGTGGTACCTTTTCAAAATGAAGCTCTCGCCTAACCGACACGCACATCCGTCTGAAGAGCTTCCACCGGCTTCAAGGATTATTACGATTGACGGCCCAGTTATGGTGTTTTAGCACGATGTAGGACTGCCAGGGCGAAACAGTTACGTTGATGCGCGGCGTTGAAGTCCCAGGAATGGTTTTCTGGCACAACTCTGGATCGTCAGGACGCAGCAGTAGCGTTGATTCGCGGCGTTGAACTCCCAGGAATGACTTTCTGACACAGTTCAGGATCCTGAGACGTTGTCTTCCAACGGGACGCTTCCCTCAGCGAAAATGATCCCTGATCGGGACCGACGACGAGGGAACTTGGAGCGAGGGTTGATTAAAAAATCGTTCATGCATCTTGAGTTTATACTTGTCCTCCTGGTCCTCCTCCACCTTATCTCATCATCATCATCATCATCATCATCATCATCATCATCATCATCGTCATCATCATCCTCATCATCAGCAGTAGCAGCATCATCATCATCAGCAGCATCATGATCATCATCATCAGTATCATCAGTATCATCATCATCCTCATCATCATCAGCATCATCTTGATCATCATAATCATCATCATCATCATCATCATCATCATCATCATCATCATCATCATCATCATCATCATCATCATCATCATCATCATCATCACCAGCATCATCATCATCATCATCATCATCATCCTCTTCCTTTTCCTCTTCCTCTCCATCTTCCTCCTCCTCCTGCTCCTCCTCCCTGCCCGAGCGGAGCCCGCGAGACAGCGCCCAGGGCGGGGCCGGTCTTGAGGATGTCGCACACGACGTCCCGTCCGACCGCCTTCGGCTTGGGCGGGGGTCTTGATGATAATAGGCTTTGGATTTGTGGAAAGCGTATCCTCGCGGGTATTACTGTTGCTTGCCAAAAGCTTGCATGAAGCCGTCCGACTTCGACTCCCCGTCCTGTGCCCTGTACCCCCAGTGTCGATCAGCTTACTGGGACCGACTGCTGCCACTGAGGACTGGCCTGTTGCAAGCGAGCAGGCCTTTTGCAATGTGTAATAACTTGGGTTTTCGTGCCTCCGACGATGGATGGGAAGTCCAGGTGAGCGACAATCAAAAAGGGGGTCGTACGCGAGATAACGTAGCGACCTTACGCCGCGGCTCACGCGGGCCGCCCGCGCGGCATGCCACATTTGAAGCGAGAGCGCTTACGCACGAGCTTACGCGCCAATGTCGGCGCAGTTGGACCCGTTTGTTTTCGTCGCTCAGGTGAGAATCAGACCATACCATGCCGCACGTATCCAATGATATGTTGGAAGCATTGCCAATTGCTATGGACTGTATGCTGTATGGCAGCCCTGCAGCAATCAAGGGTTTGTGAGGGATTCGTTTTTGCTGTCTTGCTTGCAGTGCTGCCCCTCCAAAGCCCACGCATTTGACGGACCGAAATCACTGCATGTAGAGGTTGTCAAAATGAAGGACCCGGCTTCCAGATGTGTGGTGTACACTCACTTCGAGAAACAGCTGGTTGTGGGGCACGCTGTTGTCACACAGGCGCTCGTCTGCGGACGGCAATTTGGAGCTGCTCAGGGGGAAGGCTACTCTTGACCCTATTGCTCCTCTCTCTCTCCCTCGCTCTGTTTCCTTGCAGGATTGCGCCGTGCCCAGAATTGCTGCTGCTGAGTTCTGTGGTGCAGCTTGCAGCTGCGCACCACTGGCGCAAACTGGTGCGGGCACGGGCCGCACGCGCGCGTGCGCTGGCGTTGCTGCTGCCGCTTGCTCTCCATCCCCTGCAACTCGTCCCCACTCTGGGGCTAGGCTTCGACTCAAGACTCATCCGCCCTTCGACCGACCGGCCGACCGACGGGGGGGAGGACCCGAGTCAAAACACAAGATGCGTCCCCGATACGTCAACCCACCCTACCGCCCCATCTGCCCTCCTCACAAGTCCATGCAAGCTGCAAGCAATCTTGCTCACTACGACCCCTTGCAAGACGACCACCCCATGCACCCGCAAGTCAGGCGGGAGCGCCGTTTTGCATAGGACCTTGTCTCTATCCGTCGAACTTCGTATGAAGAATGCAACCATATGGGGCCATCCAAACCAATGACGTGTCAAGCGACAGTCCCGCTTTGAATAGGAACCACCCTGAATCTTTGCAAGTGCTCAGGCCAGAGCGTCCTTTTGAAAAAGAGCCGCACCCCGTCAGCGCAAATGCTGCGCGATGAAAAACATCTGGCCATGAAAATTGGGAGATCTCAGGCGAGAGACCCGATCTTCAAACAACAGACCTCCATCCGTGCCACCGCTGCACGACCTGCCCTCGAGATTGCAGGCGTCTTGGGCGAAAAAAACACGCTTTGACAACGAGTCGCCCACCGTCCGTGGGACTGCCAGATTTGTTCCAAAAGACTGCGCGCGGCGCCACGGCGAGATCCCAATTTTGAAGACACCCCGCCTCCAACCCGTGCAACTTTTCTTTTATTTTTTTCTTCCCCACCGCAAACACCCACCAACTTCAGCCCTTTGCTCCGATACAGCCCGGCCAAAAATATGGCTGAAGAGTGAAACGTCTGCTCGATTGTGTTGAATCCGCCTCCAACCCGTGCAACTGTTAAAAATGTCAAACGTATTACTTAAGCGGTGCGAAGGTGTCAGGCGAAACGCCCGGCCCACCCTGACGACACGTCTGGTGGTGCGGCATGTCGTTGTTAGTAAAGAAAATGGGATTGAAGATCAACAGCAGGAGGGAGAGAGAAGAGGGGAGGGATACAAGCTAGGTGCGCTCGCGCCATATTTGACATCACAACCCTCCCACCAACCCCTTCTCCTGTGCTGATGTGCTCTGTATCCACCGAAAACTGCCGTAGCGGGCCTGACCCCCCAAGAGGACCCCATCGCGCTACGCGCAAAATGAAAAGGGGAGCTGTGAACATTGGAAAAGGACGTGGCGGATGAGCAGGAAGATGAGCACTAGGAAATGGAGGAGAAGATGAGCACTAGGAAATGGAGGAGAAGGGGACGAGGAGAAGGAGGAGGACGACGAGAAAAGGAGGAAAGATGAGGACGAGGACGAAGAGCGGCAGCAGGTGCAAGAGGCACAGGAGCACGAGGACCAGGGGAAGACAGAGGGAGGAGAAAGGATGAGGAACGACGCCGATCCAAAAATAAAGCCCGCGCTGGTGCGAGAGCGCAATTTTGAACGACGGGCGCAAAGCGTCGATCCCAAAACGAAGCCAGCGCTGCAGCAGAAGCACATCTAAGGCGCCTGAAAAACTCCGATCCCCACAAAAACGTGTTGAACACACAAGTTGAAATCATGTACGTGAAAGATCGCATGCAAGAGAAAACGGAGCCCACTCGGATAGGACCCCAAGAGGTGCGCTCGCGCCACATATGACACCATTCCCCTCCGACCCATCCCTACTCATTGCGCTGATTTGTTTTATCCGCCGACGGCTGCCGTAGCGGACCCAGCCCCATGAGTGGGACGCGGTTCACGAAAAACTCGGATGTTGCAAAAGCCTTGCCGTGGACGTGGCTCCACCGCTGCCAAAACTCGTTCCGTAACCAGCGCCAACCCTTCTGGCGAACCTTGCCTGCTCTACCCTCCAAGTCCCTTTCCGTCCAACCAGCCAAGAGGCTGTTCTCGAGGCTCTCCTGGGCTGTCTTGAAGCCTTCTGGGGCCCTTCTGGACTCAACCCACAGGAAGCCACACGCATACACAAACTGTTTGGCGGTCGCGGCCTCGCGCGCGGCGTCGAAGCAAAGAAAGTCAAGTCACGAACAAACACACACCCGTGCTTTGGCATACGAACAGCAAAATACTACGAGAGCCCGTGGTGCCAAACACCAAGGGGCTGACGACGTTCTTGCTGTTCCGCGCCGCTCGGTGCAAATATTGACCAAAGTTGGGCACGGAAACTGTGCCGCCCATTCCCACTGGTGCCAGGGTCAGTGACTAGTGCCACGCTCACCTCGCATGAGCTTCTTACCGCAAGAGGGCCAGCGACTACTGCCAAGCTCACGGAATGCGAACTGCGAGGCCAGTGCAACGCTCAACTCGAAATGCCAAGCGCAGGCTAAAGACAAATCCTGTCGGCGGGAAGGATTTCGGCGGCGCTAAGCGGCCAGGGGCCCTGGAAATCTCTCGACGGCGACAACTGCTCACCGAGTCCGTGACACGCCAGACGCGGGAGATTGTCGAACCGACATACCTACGACAGACTTCGACACAATCTGCGCGAACCCCACGCCCACGCGGCTGCGGGCGAACGCACAGGGTGCCGGGCCGAATGCGATGGTGAAGAAGTCACCAATGTGGGTACTTGTCCCGGCGCGCTCCACATCGAGCGTTGCATCAGGGACTTTATAGATTTCACGCGTCACCCCGATGCTGCAGCAGTGCGTCCTGCCGAAGCAATGCAGTTTCGCGAGACATGATTTCTCCATTGCCTGAATTACTCGCGCGCTTGCGCGTGGTCCACGCAGCACCAGGTTGGGACCAGAGCGCCCAGCATCTCGCGCAGCAGGGACGGCACAGGAAGGTCGACATGCCGGACCACCGCTGATGAGCTGACGGTTTCGGACTCGGCGCTGCTGCCGGCTGTCGCCGCCGGGCGGAGCTGACCTCCCAGGCGAGGGGGACGGAGTTCTCGGACTCGCCCCCTACCAGCTCCACGAACAAACCATCTGCACCCTCGCGCGCTCTCGAGTCGCAGTTCCAGTCGGCGCCGGGCCAAAAAGGCACGGCTCGAAGGAGTAGATGTCCTTGGGGGCCAGGGCGCCGATGCGCTCCAACGCGCGCCACGAAGAAATATTCTGAAATGAAACAGACAAGGCCCACGGCGCCCGCAACAGCCATTCGAGATATGCGCGAGCATATCCAATAGACGGCAGCTGCCAGATCGAGCCGGCAAACGAGGCTTGCGAAGAGGCTGGACAGGCATAGCTCGCCGCATTCACCTGGAAGGCTCAGCTTTCATTGTGGCTTGGCGGGTAGGGCGACGCCACGTGCCTGAACGGCGATTTGTGCTCTTTGCGGAAGCGGCCCACCAGGCCCCTCGGGTAGCTACTCATCTCCGTCGCCACTCTCCGGGGTGCCAAGGGGGCCGCCTCGCTGAGTTCGTCAAACAGTAGCAACCCCGAGATGCTTAAAGAGCGGCGCGCGGTCCACCTGGAAGACGAAGTGCTTCCCCAATTCATGCCGCTACTTATTGGCATTCTTCGCATGCCCAGTTCAGGCGGGATGCCACCCCCAGAGGAATTTTCGACGCTGAGCACCCACATGGACCCGTCGCAGAGGACAGAAACGCCGCGCCAGAACGCGGTCTTGCGATGGCCCGCGAGCAAGGCGAGGCGGACTGCATCGGCGCGAAACTCCTAACTATCCCAGCTCTCCGGGTGGCCCGGGCGGGCGCACTGACGTAGGATTCCAAACCCATTGAGTCTAGGCCGCGCCTGAGCGGCACCGTGCATCCAGCTGTCAGACCACCAGTCCTTCGGAAGCTCGACCAAATTCACAATGGCGCGGCCCACGCCCATCTCGACCTACAGGAAAGCACGGCAAGTACCCCTGCACGCAGCCGATATACCCTCGAGGATGGCCAGGGCGAAAACGCACGAGGCCGGGCAGTTTGACGCGTCGTTGAAAATCTCGCGTGCACGCAGATATCCCTGCGCGCGCCCACGCGTTGCTCCCCTGGAAAACCCTGCGGAAGCAACACCGCCACTCTGACTCCTCCATCCACTGCAGCCCACTTAAGATTATGAAGATGCGGCCACGAAGATGCCAGCGCGGCCCCCGTCGCCCAACCAATCCGCCAGCCCCCTGACCTAGGGAAGGCCACAGGTACAGCGCTGCCGGCTGCCCTCAACCTCAACAGCGATGGCTTTCGGCGCCCTGTCGGACTGAGTCTCGGCCGACTTCTTCGCGACCAGCCGGGTGGCCAGGCGGCGCCACGGAGACGTGGCCGGCGGCTCGCCGGGCAGGGCGCGCCCCTGGATACGCGGCGGCGCGGCGCGCGGCGGCGCCCGCGGCACTGCAGGCCTGAGTCCTCCACGCGAGCTGCGCAATGACCAGCGCGCAAGGCGCGCCTGCCACTGCATACACGAAACGGAATTTCACGAAATTCTGGTTCGGGATGATTTCCAGCACGTCCCAGCACAAGAACAGCTCCATCGGGGCGCCGGGCCACGCGGTGGCCACGCGCCCAGTGCGCGCGCAAGGACGTCCTGCAGCAGGTCGTCGACAACGGCTGCGACAAACGCGCCAACCGCTGCCGTGGAGACGGCGACATCGACCGCCCCGCGCCTGGCGAGCAGCGCATCCTCCCGGCGCCGCCACAGCCCGCGGCCTGCCAGCCACTCCCTGGAGAACGCGTCGCCCGTTTCATCGACGCGGTGGCTCCGAGACGCGGTGGAACAAATGAGCGCCTCCGCGCGCGCCCCGTTGTCGGCGCCGACGCTGACCCCGAAGATGCACATCAACCCCGCGCAAAGAACAAAACTGGACAAGAGCGCGAAGTGCACCCACGGTGCTCTTCGCGGCGAGGTCCCGCCGCACCTGGATGCTTGCGACGAAGCAACGCGGCTCGGCAGCAGCGGGCGACCCGCCGTCCCCGGCGACGCCCACTTCAAGTGAAAGAACCGAGAACCGCCGGCGACGATCACGCCGCGCACCTGCCGGACCAGCTGCGGCGCCCTCGGCTGCGTCGGCATTCTGGCCTAGTCGATCCCTCGACGGGGCTGCTTGCCAGAGGGTTGCTTCCGCGCGCAGCCGCGCGAATTCATGAGCTCCTGGTCGCCCGCAGCATTCACGTCGAGAGTCTCACCGTCGAAAGTCGCCGTTGCCAGCGCCGACGCCGCCACGGCGACGATTGGAGCGGCCGCGCGCTCGCCGCTGGTCCGAAACCACGCTGCCCGTCGATCTCCCTGCGCTTCGAAACCTGCTGGATCCTCCTGCTGCCAGGCGGCGCGCAATTCAGCCTGCGCTGCTCGACTGGCCCCAACCCGCGGCTCTGGCGCGCGCGCTGGCGGCCGCCGCGGCCAGGGGGGGGCCCGACACAAGGCCGCAAAAACCTCGTCGTCTCGACCGAAACCTCCAGCTCGATGGCCCCGACGTCCTGCTCGAGACCTGCGCGATCAGCGCCCGCGGGTGAGAAGCCGCGGGAAGCTTCGGCCGTCGCGCTCGCTTCCTCGACGCCCTCCTCGTCGTCGGGCCCCAGGGCGAGCGCGCGGTCCAAGGGCGCGTCGTTCTCGGACTCGGCAGCGTTCTCCCTCCACTGGCCGACGAAGGAAACGGCGACCTCGTCGGCGGCGCCGATGTCCTCGACCACCTCCAGACGAAGCACGCCCCCCGGAAATCATCGGCTCGGGGGAGGACTTGCCCGCGAGGGCGCCTCGCAACGCCGACCGTTACTTGAACGACAAGGGGGGGCGACCTCCAGGAAGACGACGTCACACGACCTCCGGATCGATGCCTTCGAGTCACTGCACCCCGAAACGAAGCGCGCCAACGAGATCGCGCAACGACAACTGCCAGGCCTGCCAGCTGGCCCAGAGGCGATCTCCACCGGCGCCGCCGGCGCGAGGCGGGGCCGCAGATCGCCGCGCTGGCGTTCATCGCCTGCTGGATGCACGGGTCGACGCAGACGCAGAAATACGAATGCCCCAAGCGCACTGGCTGCACGGCGCCGGCGCCCGCGCCTCCTGAGGCAGGGGGCCTCGCCATCCTCGCCCGCGGCGTAGCCGTTCCACTGCGCCACGCAGAACAGAAGCGCAAGCGCCCACCAAGCCTCTTCGAGGCCTGACTAGACGAGAGCAGCTCTGGCATCATCCGCGCTGGCGCGGCTCGACCGCTCGGCCCTCGGCGCGCGCACCCACGGGACGAACGCGCCGCGCGCGAGAGGGCGCCGAGCTCGGACGCGGCGCGCTGCCGCCAGGAACTCGGCAGTCCTGTCCGACCATCAGCGCTGGATGGCCGGGGGAAGCTTGCCGAAGCGACGCACTGTTTCCACGGCCGCGTCCTCGTCCCTGGCTCGCACACAAAAAGACGGCAAGGTCGTCTGTCATCATCAAGGACCTCTGCGCCGTCCTGTAGGCGATGGTGCCTCTGCGAATCTCGACGCCCCGCGCGCAGGAGTGCCCCGAACGGCCTGTCTACAGCACCCAGGAAGTCCACGCAGATCACAAGTCACTCGCGCCGCACGTTGCATCGGCGCGAGTGCTGGGCGTCGCCGACATGCCGAAGTGTTTCACCGAGTTGGCACTCTCGCAGGGCACGCGGCAAACCTGCTCCTCACCCTTTCGCTGCGACCAGGGCGATCACTAAGCTGGGGCCCCGTCGATGACGGCGCCCGCCTCGTCGTGCTCAGGCTCTCACCGGTGTCCAGCACCCTCTCGATCTCACCTGGCAGCGAAGCAGCAGGGGACGCGGAGCCTTTGGTCTCGGCGGTCGCTACGACCCCACCAGCTGAGCGCATAGCGGCAGGGTAAGCAGCCCCCCTTTCCTGCTCTTGACCGTCACGTTGGCGACATCGAAGACCGCGGCGGCATCCAGACCCAAATCCCCGTCGTCGGCGACGCTGCCCTTGCAGGCCACAACCTTCCCAGGCGCTGTGGTCGCCTTCGATGCAAGTGTGGCGTCGGCAACAGGCCTCGGCACGGGCGCCCCGCGCTCAGCGCTCGATGGCTCGCGGGAGTCGCCGAGCTATGCCCGAATACGCATCTCCCGATGCATCGGCAAGAGTTGCCGCGCCTGATGTGCTTGCATGTCTGAAGAATCCCTCCGCCCCGATAGGCGCCCCCTGAGTCAGCGCGCGAGCGATCGCACTGGTCACATGCCCTGCAAGCGCCAGCCAAGAATCTCCTGCACGTCTATATCTGCACGGGCCCGGTCGCAGTGCCAACTTGCGCAGATGCCTGTACACCACTATTGTCCTTCTCCTTTCCTTGTCCTTTCCCTTGTCATTTCCATCATTCCACTTGGCCTTCCCTGCTGCCACTGCGGCCTTACCACATGGCTTCAACAAGGAATCCGCGACGCCCTGCAGCTGCTTCCGGGCCAGGCGCGCGCGGGAGCGTCGCAGAAGTGTCGGGCGGCGCGCTCACGCAAGCCCTCGGGAGCACGATCGCACATCTCGAAGTCGAGTTCCAGAGCCTTGCAGCGTCGAAGCTGGGGTTCCATAGAAGCGCACAGGAACGGGCTAGCTGAAGCGCGTATGGTGCCCAGGCCGTCGAGGTAGACGCCAGGATCGCCGCGGAACTCGCGGTTCAGGAGGGCCTTAAGGTCGACGTGAATCGCCGCCCCACGCTGGGACAAGCACCCCCGGATGGCCTGCCACAGGGCCCATCTCCCAGCAGGCTAAACCCCATCTCGGTAGCAGCCCTCCAGATAATTCAGCAGGGCACGCTTCAGCTCGCCGGTGGCGTGACTCATCATCCCGCTGAAGAGCTCCCCGTCGAAGCTCTGCCACTTGCGCGGGACCTGCAAGTGGGCTCGTGGACCTCGGCGCACCTCGACTCCTCGAATACACCCTGCGAAATGCTTAAGAAATCATGGGTTAAGAAATTCATAGTCTCAGAAATTGAATAAAACCCAGAACTTCTATCAAAATCTTGGGATTTACATTGAAAAGGTAAGAATAATCAAGACTCTGGACGAAAAACTTAGGTTTTCTTAAGCATCGCCTAAGGTGTACACCTGATGGCCCGGCGCCGCAGGCGACTCGACGCCGCGCAGCACGCCCGGCACAGCTCGCTCAACCTGAACCTGAAGCCACCCGCCGCCGGAGGAGCTCCGAGGCCGATCGGCTTCACTGCGGCCCTTCTGCGGCTGAACTTCTCGCCAGATGTCTCGCCCGAGGACTGACAAACCATACACCAAGCGGTGCGTGGGCATGAACGCTGGCTTAAAGAAGAGCCAGGGCCTTGGCTGCACGCCGGGCCACTGCAGTCGGCTACCAGTGAGAAGCTGCACTTGTGCGCTGGGGGCCCAGGGCACCACGAACGGGAACGGCGCGCAAATGGGTCACACTGGGACGACCAGGAGGAGGAGGAGGAAGAGGAGGAGGAGGAGGAGGAGGAGGAGGGGCCGCCCAAAAATCGCGAACGGCAACCGCGCTCGCCGCCGCCTGCGGCGCGACCCCTGCCGGCCCAGCCGCCGTGCTGAACGCACTCGAGCCCAGCGGAGCGACAGGCCCAGCGCTGGCGGGCAGCGGCGCATCGCCGCGAGGCCTCACTCAGAGGGGAAACTCGGCGAGCCTCGCTCGGGCCGGCACCCAGGCGCGACCTGGCCGCGGGGCGCGCCAGCCAGCAAACGTGCCAGATAGAGTCTCCAGGGGAAGCTGCGCCCTCGGGGCCAGCGACGCCGTCGGCTGCCGCTGCCGCCGCTGTCTCGCGGCCTCGGCCTCCAGCAGCTTCCAGCGAGAAGCCTCGGCCTCGCCATGCCAGGCCTGCACTTCGGACTGCGAGTGCATCAACTCGGACTGCAACTCGCTCTCTGCCTGCAGTGGGCGGGCGCCGATGCCCGCGGTCAGACTGGCAGCCCTACGATCGACCTCCACCTTGGCGTTGTCCCGGAACGCGGCCGCATCTGCTGCGGACTTACTCCTGGTCAGACTACAGCTCCTGCCGCGGCGCGGCCACGTCATCCCGCATCTCGGCCCTGAGGCCAGGCTCGCGAGCCTCCGCGATCGCCTCGTGGCCAGCAGTGCCACGCTGCTCCCTGGCGACTGGGAGCTCGAGCGAGCGCCACACCAAAGCTTCCGGCGCGCCCGCGCGCCGCCGCGCGCGAACGATCCGGCCCTCAGCAGGGCCCATGTCGGGAGCAATCGCAACACGCTCCGCGCCGGCGCGCGCCTCGGCGCCGCACGGCTCGGACCGGCACCGCCCCCTCCTCTCGGCGGCGCGGGCGCCGAAGCGCTCGCCGCAGCACGGCCCCGTCCCCGCGCGCTGCGTGGACCGCGCGGCGAAGCACATCTCCGGCCGGGGTCGTCGAAGACCTCGCGATCTCGCGGCGGCCGCCCTCGCAATGGCGCGCGTGGAAAGCAGCGCACCGCCTCATCTCGGGCCGCGCGCGCTGCGGCGACGAAGAGGCCGTCGCCCTGGGCCGCGCGGGCCCGCGCCTCGGCGACAGGCTCGCCCTGCCCAGGGCACTGCGGAGACAGCGCATGGCCACCGCCTGGCGCGCCATGCCCACGTCTTGGACAGCCCGCCCAGCCAGCGAGGCCTCACTGCGAGGCGGAGACTTATCCACACTGACCGCCTGGGAACCGACGTCCTGGTGCCCCCGCGGGCGGTGGATATGGATATATTTCCGCCCCCGGGGGGCCCGAACATGTCCATATCCACCGCTTGCCGACGCTCCGAAAACTGCCCCTCCAGGCGGTGGATATGGACGAATTCCCGCCTCGGATTCATGCCGTTCGACCGCGCCGCGGAGTTCGGCGGAGGCCTCACTGCGCAGACGGGCGCCGTACGCCATCACGCGGGCGCGCGCGACGTCGATCACCCTGCCCAACTCCATCGTCAACTCAAGGGCATCAGCCAGATCGTCACCCCGCAGGGGTAGACCGGCCGTTCCAGACGCCCGCGAGCGACAGGAACGACAGCGGAGCTGGGGCAGGGCTAGCCACAAGGCTGCTGCTCGCGTCCCTCCCCTGCAACGGCACTCGCTGCTGCGGAGCTGGCTGCTGCGCCAAAGGCAGCGACATCGCGTCGCCGGTCGAGCGCGGACCGACTTTCCTCCTCAGTGCAGTCCGCGGCCGTGTCGCTCAGAAGGAGCTGCACCACGCGGAGCGGCGGCTCCCCCGCCGCAATCTTGGCCTCGAAGCGCTCCTGGATCTTGGCAGGCTTCCGCCTGCCGGGAATGCCGAGTGCGCAACGCTCTTGACCTGTGAAAGTCCGTGGTGCCAGGCACCAGTGGGCTGACGTTTTTTTTACTATTCCGCGCCGCTCGGCGCAGATCTTGAGCCAAATTGGGCACGGAAGCGTTGCCCGCCCCTTCCCGCTCGTGCAAGGGTCAGCGACGAATGCCACGCTCACCTCGCATGAGCTCCTGAACGCAAGAAGGTCCGTGACTAGTGCCACGCTCACTTAATGCGAACTCAGAGGGCAAGTGCAACGCTTAACTCGCAATGCCAAGCGCAGGCTAAAGAACAATCCTGCCCCCTGGAAAGGCCTCGGCGGCGCCTAGCGGCCAAGGGCCCTGGAAATCTCTCGGCGACAGCTGCCGCACCGAGTCCGAGACACGCTAGATGCGGCAGACTGTCGAACCCACATACCACAAACAGACTTCGACGCAAGCTGTGGGAACCCCCAGCCGGCCGGGCTAACG